TCCCCCCCCCGCGGCCGCGGGTGGGGGGGGGGGGGGGGGGGGGGGCTGGGTTACCCAGGTAGATCTGACCCCTCCGGCGGCCCGGCCCCGAAACCTCCCCCTCCCTCGGCTAACACTTTCTAACGCGGAGCAGCTAGAAGGGGGAAACTCTCTCTGCCCCTTGCCGCGGGCTTCTCGCACCCAGCTGGGATGGGGCAGGCTCGTTTCGACGCTAGGATCCCACTGGCCTAAGAGCTTCTATGGGGGCCTTTTCTAGTGGCAGGGTCAGCTCGCTCCGCTTGCAAGCTGGCTCCCGAGGCAGGCTTCTGACAGGCAGCTCCACTCGGGACTGTCCCTCGCCCCTGCGGCTCGGCTGCCCCTTGCGCTGCGGTCCGCGGGCAGGGAGGGGGGGTATTTTACTCCGCTCCGAAAGAGAACCCCTGGACTTCTTTTCTGACACATGTGTACGAAGCACAGCACGACACGCAAACCAGATTCCCCCGAGCTGCTTTCCAATAAAAGGTTTACAGCCCAGCAAATACAAAAATGCCCAAAGCCCCTGGGTCTCCCCAGAAGCTAGTAAAGTTTGTGTAGATTTCAATAGTAAAAGTGTCACTGGAGCCAGCGCTCAGCAGCCCCTCCCTCGCAGCGTTTCCAAGCTCAGCTTGCACCAAAGGTGGAAATGGAGCCTAAAGAAATATACAACCCCGGTCAAATTTGTTGATTGCAGAGATCAGAGCTATTTCCAATCCGTGGCTTTCACAACCTAAGGTTCAGCTGAAAAGTCTGCAGGGGCGGGGGTCCGAGTGGGGGAGGGAGAACAGCCGGATGATTTAGGGAAGCCAAAATCTCCAGACTTGCCAAATCGATATAAAAAGCAAGACGAATTAGCATGCAGGTACACCAAAGTCACTCTGCGCTGGCTGCCTTTTCTCCCCAAAACGCAGCCAATCGGTGCTGTGTGACACCGACTGGCATTGCGTAACCGGAAACCATAATCCCGGGCAATATTCCTCGAGAGATCCCGGCTCTTTCGTAACGTCCCCCTCTACCCAACCCTGCGCACCCCCTTTTCCCAACAGAGCCATGGGACGCGCTTAGGGACCCAGGTCGACGCCCACCTGGGTGGCTCCGGTGAATTACACTGTAACCGGGTTTCCAACCCTCTAGGGGAGTTTTCCACCTTTGGCCAGGGCACGGTTATATTTCCAGGGAGGGCAGGCCACAATCTGTTTTCTTTCCTCGGGAATATGTGTGAGTCATTGATGAACACAGTTCGGTCCTGGAAATCAGCCCTACATTTCCGTGGGTGACAAAGAGAAAAGATCACTAAATCATCAGTGAAGGAGTTAATTCCTTGAAAAAAATTACGTGGTATACTTTACCAAAGTACTTGACAAAATGACTGTATAAAGATGGATTAATCCTGAGTAAAGCACTTGGATTCTGTCCTGCTGCCACTGAAAGCGGAGACAAATCCTCCTTTGATTTCAATGGAAATAAACGCGGCGCCTTTTTAAATGGAAATACACTGCTGATAGATCGCAAGCGGGTGGTCCCAGTTCATCAAGAAGAGCACCAGGGAATTTGGAATGAGGCCTGTGATTTCTCCCAAGTACCCACCTTGCACTCCTGTAACATAGTTCAACCGAGGAAAGGATATCTTGTTCCCTAATGACTCATTCACTGGAACTATTGTTGTTCCTTCTGAGGAGCAGCAGCAACTTAGGGTTAACTAGTTTGTATCCCAGCCTGAGATACAAACCTGATTCAGTGGGAATTGCACAGTTATTAACTGTCACAGAGCCTACACCAACAAGGTGACAACAACAGCTGTTAAAACAATCTGTGGAAGATAAAAATGAAATATGGCAAGTGCTGCCTAGATTCCTTGTGGCAGCTTTAAAGCGCTGTTGGCATCCCTCCACTGAGGGAAGTGAGCCGGGTTTGGCCTATCGCAGCACTGTGTACACGTGTTTTATCAGCCTTACAGCTGGAGCAAGGTAAAATACGTTCTTTGTGCCCAGCTTTTGCAAGACCCTTCTTCAGAAACAAGTTGGGACCGGAGCCGTAGTTCTTTATGTTTTCCTTTGTCTCTCTATTGTTTTCCACACTGGGCCTGAACCATCCCCCCGTTTCCCATACACCCAAATCTCTGTCGACTTCAGTAGGAAAGAGGGGTGCCTGGGTGCACAAAGACAACAGGATGGGGTGAATAATTCAACAAAGTGAAGCTCTGAGGCAAGACTCACCTAGCCAGGACAGTGTGTCAGTTTCACAACTGTAGCCTCCCCTGTGTGTGCCGGGCACGGGTGTGAGTGCGGTGTGAGTTTCAGGAGAAGACGCACATTCCAGCAGCAAGAATGTGGATGTTTCAGACAAGGTCCTGCCTGCTTCCTCGCATTTCACTTTCACTGTCCCGAGCACTACAGTCGCGCTGTAGCCAGAGTCAGGGCTACAACCAGTGCAGTTTGAACACACAGCTGAGCCTTCGATCTGCTTAGTAAGGGGCTGTCTAGAACTTAAGGCGAGAAGAGCTAGCTCAGGACAGGCGGCCGCGTTATTCCGTCCTGTTTCTGCTAGGCAATGGTTTTGTAAACCTGCATTCAGACGGGGGTGGGATGGGGTGTCTTGAACTTTTGAATAGCTCTCTCCTCCCAGAGGGATAGGTTGGCCGCTGGCCCTGCGCTCTGTAAGCTAAGCAGCATCCCAGGCAGGGCTAGGAAAGAAGGCGCTCCCTGTATTATCCTGTGATCGCAGTGCTACCCAGGTCTGCTGCTGGGTTCCGAGGGGCTTGCAGGCCTTCTTCGCCGTACCCGTCTGCCAGCCCAAGGCACATGCCCAAACCGTCCCAGCCCTTACTGAAGAGGCGACCAGGCCCAGCCCCAGGCCTTCGACGAGAGGAGGAAGCTGGGTTTATCTAGCCCTGTTGGAGGGGTTTTAGCTTTGATCTCAAAGGAGATACGCATCCACTTTTTCTCGGGGGGGGGGGGCAGGAAGGGGAGTTTAGCTGAAGCCCACGTGTGTCAGGAGCCCAGCCCGGTGGGACCAGGTGACGGGATCTGTTTGGTACCAGATTTCTCCACCCTGGAGCCCCCATTGCCCTGCGATCCCAGGTTTGCCGGTGCTCAGAGTCCCATCAGATCCCCTAGATCTTAAGCCTAACTCCCCGGTTCCTGCTCACGGCTTGTCAGTGCCGGCTCGTGGCATGCCGAGAATCTGGCCCTGAGATCGAGATATTCCCCCTCCGCCCCTTTTCCCGGTACCTGTGACCAGGAGGAGACGAACAGAGGGGGCCCACCCCGCCGGGAGAAACAGACACCTGCTCCATAGAGCCAAGCCCTTTCTGGGGGCAGGGTTCAGCTTTGAGCAGGGGGCTGCAGGCACGTTTTCCAACGGAGCTCCCCAAAGCCAGTTGCGTCAATCTCCTGACAGAAGTTTGAAGGGGGGGGGGGCGTTTCCTCACCTGAGGGCACGTGAAAGCAAAGTGTTTCGGATTTGGATCAGGAGGTCTGGACACTTCGTGGCTCCGGCATGTCTCCTGGAGATGTATGCCGTCCAGGGGCAAACGTCAAGTGTATGTTCAAATGGCAGTTATATACACTAGGCAGCGCTGGGGAGGAAAATGCGAAATCCCATGGGAGTTTCCAGGGTTGCAAACCGCAACTGGAAGGTTGTAAATTGTCCGAACAATTGGTGTTGATTCCGTGGTTATTTTCAGCGCTTTCCTGCGGTTAATGAGATAATTCAACTCTTCCAGCCATGGGCTGAACGATCTCGGAGGTGAGGGTTTCAAACAAGAACAGATCTTTTGCTCCTCGAAATAAATTGGAGTCTGAACAGGCTTCTCGCCACATTGGACAGGCCCCCCCTGGAGAGGAAGTGTACAGGTGGGGTAAGAAGATTTCAAAGGAGGGCCACACCGTGCTGCTACTTGTGTTCCAGAAATTGTTCAGTCAAAACCTTTCCTCAATTGGTACCATTGCCAGTTCTAGTGACTCCACCAAAGGATGCTGGTTATTTCAAGTAAGCAGTTTCAATTCCGATCAGATAAACGCAGTTTGTTCACTCTGGTAACCTAATAATTACAGATGAAGACATAATCCTAACCCATATTGGCATGCTCGCTCGCAAAGCATACAGTCAAGAGGGCGGGAGACGCAGAGGAGCCAGGGAAGAGTGGGTGGGGGAACCTATAAAATGTCTAGAAATCTGAGAAAGATGGATCCTTTTTTAGACGCTTCAGTCAATTTGTTTTCCGTTCTACCTTGCAAGGAACACAGCAACCGTGAAAACACTCCTTTGCTCTGGGCTCGCCCGTTGTGGCAGGCTCCTCCAATGTTTATGGGCTTTGCTTATTCCTTGAAATCAAGGAAGTGGGTTGGGTGAAATCTGTGTCGTCAAACACTGTCAATATTTGCAACCCCTCTCCCCTCCGATTATTTTAATATGTCCAGAACTCCACAAATGTTTTTCCAAGCGCACAAGTGGCTGTTGGAAACATTACATTACAGAAAATACTAAACGGAAAAGTCAGCTTCCAGGTACCTTGCTGTTCGGGATTTACATTTCCATACACATAATTCATGGCTTTATCTTTATTTCGAATTCCCGTTGTTAGTTTAAGTAAAGCTAAAATGTTTGGGGGCTGCGGGAGGCATCTATCTGGAATTTAAGCATGTGGCACTAATGGGGAAAAGAAAGAGCCGAAGGTAGACCCTCTCTTTCAAATGTGTCCGGGGAAATGAATGTGCTCAGCGGGTTTTGCCTCGCACACTTTTGCGCAGGACACCTTCACGTCACTGCCTTAATAGAAGAGTCTGTGGGAGAAACGCAAACTGGAAGCGCTCCCTCGTGGGAGCCCTCGTGTTATGTACATTTCCTTCTCTTTGTGGTTACGGTGGTTTTACCATCTCTAGGGTTAAATTAATTATTTGGCTGGGATGTTTCCTTTTAACTCCCGGGGTTAAACGACTCCTGCTTCCCCGCTTCACTTTGTAGCAGGCAGACCTGAACTCCGAGGAGAGGCTGGGATTAATGAAGGCTACACAAAGTTTCCCTTTTCATGGCAGATCAGGTACTGGGCTCCCAGCCAATTCATTAGGGCTTAAATCTTAACTTTACATCACTGCAAATTATACCAAAACCGCATTCGCGAAGAATTCTCTTTCAAGCCAGATTTAAACTCAACGCAAAAGCACATTTGCCGTGTAAAGACCATTTAAAGAGTCTCGTTCAACAATCATCTGAAAGTTAACACATAGCCTCAGTAATGGTGACAGGCTGGGTACACGTTGTGTGCACAGTAATAACCCTGACAGGTATTTCTTTCGTAGCGTGAGGTAGGCTGGACTATAAAGAGGCTGGCTTTCTAGCCGCGGCACTTCTCCACTTTAAATTCCGCATCTCTGAGCGTCTTGCACTGGCTTTTTACTAGCCTGTGTGCTTAGATGTAAATGTTTCATTCGCTCATTCTCAAAAAACTGGGCAAGACCACACCTTCCTAAAATTAGTTCCTAATCCTACCAAAAACTGAACAAACGCGGGGGCAGTATTTAGCGCATATTTTACAGTCAAAATGTCCATAGCTGGCGTGCATTTATTTTCTTGGCCATTTTCTTTACTGAGTCTGTGCCTGAAAATATTGGATACTAAATCTTACATTTTAGCCACCTCCCTCTGCAACGGCACTGGGTTTATAGCCAGCAAACTCTGTTCTGGGTTTATAGCCAGCATCCTCTTCCTTGCTGCTCGCTCTCTCCTTTCTTTAATCCCATGAACAAACGTCAACAACGTGACAAAACAGACCTAAGCACAAATTTAAAGTCACAGACGTGTCAAAACTGGACTGGATCATACAGTCCTTATGCAAGAAAAATCCAAAGGATTTTCAGTACCCTTCTATCCAGACTTTTATCAAAGTTGAAATCGCCCTCAGTGCTTCATAGAGTAGGAGACATGGAATAGTGAAATGGCTTCGCTATTTTATAGCAAGTTAACTATAAAGCTTGTTAGTTTTAATTATTTTCGTCTCCTAAACGTTCATTTCTATAATAATATGTAATTAATTAATAAAATAAGGAATAGTAATAATAATCCCCAGATTCTAAAGTATTCCAGTTCCAAAATGATTTGCTTTATCGATCTTGGATTATTTCTGAAGCTAGATTTAGGACGAGTTTCGGGAGAGAAATGTAGGTGGGGGTAAAGACCAGCATTCATTTCAGCACCGGGAGCTAAAATATCTGCCCATTCTTTAGCATACCAGTTAGCATACCATGTCCCCTATGGCTTGGAGACCATCTTTTAGTCATGTGAACAGAGAACAATCGGATTTCCCTCTTGTGGAAGCCGACTAAAGCTCCTAAACCTATTGCAAAACGCCACAGCAGGGCATGCGAAGAGACAAGCATTTCATCTCTCTCTCTCTCTGTCGCTGTCTCTCGGATTAAGAGAGTAATGAAAGCGGCGCGGCAGCTCGCCTCATTACCGTCTCCTGCCAACCCCCTTCGCTGCGGGTTCTTTGGCTCTTATTTCGCCAGTGACAAACAAATCCGTTGCATTTCGAGTCTAGTTTGAGCGCAGCATTGGGAAACTTTATCCACCTCGGAATTCCAATGGGTCCTTGGACGTGTAAACTGTCTAAGCGGCAGGCAGGCGTGCGGATGGGCAGAATTCGTTCTGATTTCCTTGATCGGTTCATATTTCACGGCAGAGTCCTGTGGCATATAGCTGTGCCCCTCGTTTTGCACCACAAGATGAGAGCTTTCGAAAGAGTAATGACACATTTGAAAAGAGCTCGATCCTACAGTTCTGACCCCCCGCCAAATCCGTCCCGTAGGAAACAAGGGGACTTTTCTGGAGGAAAGATTGGGAGATCGGGTTCAAAACAAGCGTTCGGAATTGCTTTAGTTATGTGGACTCCTTCGCTTTCAGGGTGCACGGGCTGATTTACTGCACTCTGCATGGGACTTTAAAGGGACTCTGCGTAGCACTTAAGATGGACCCGTGCCTTTTTATGAGGTAGCGACTAAGATCTACGCAATGAGGTGGTAAACGGTTTTGTTTGTTGTTCCCTAGGAAATGAGAGACTAATGGAGGATTTATAGATCCGAACGCAGGTTGATTGTTTTGCTTTTCCTACATAAATGCTCCTACCCAGTATCCAGAGTGATCTTTGCAGACAGAGCTGGGTCTTTGCCGCAAGAGATCGGTGTTTTATTTTAGCGACTAAGATCTACGCAATGAGGTGGTAAACGGTTTTGTTTGTTGTTCCCTAGGAAATGAGAGACTAATGGAGGATTTATAGATCCGAACGCAGGTTGATTGTTTTGCTTTTCCTACATAAATGCTCCTACCCAGTATCCAGAGTGATCTTTGCAGACAGAGCTGGGTCTTTGCCGCAAGAGATCGGTGTTTTATTTTA